TTTTTTTTTTTTTTTTTTTTTTTTTTTTTTTTTTTTTTTGTCTTTTTCCGTGTCCGGCAACGGATTGCAACCCTCAGTGTTGCCCCCGTACCGGACCTGGACCGGCAACGGGATCGCAACCCTCGGCGCTGCCCCCGTGCCTCGCTCAGCCAGTGAGCGGGAACCGGTCTGTATGTGGGATCCGAACCCTCGGCGGGAGCGCCTCTGCGCTTCCCAAGCGGCACACTAGCGCAGTGCGCCACCGGGCCGGCCGTAAATCTTTGTTGAGTGAATGAATTGTCATCTTGTTGGTTCACACTTTCTGGTGTAAGGTCATGTTCTGAGTGATGTGGTCAAAACCTGGAGTGCAGGATCAGTATAGCAGTATAGCAAAGTGAACAGTGAAAGACACAGCAATCCTAGCAGGACAGGTGCAGGAGACAAAGCCAAGATCAGTACTGGGGAAAAGAGGATGAAAAAACAATCAGGCAATCCTATACATCCTGCCAGACAGAGTATTTGGGACTTTTGTGGATTCTAGAGCCAACAGAACATACCGAGCAAGATCTTCCAGGTGCCATGCAGTTGCTGCCATGGGAAAGCCTCTTTCTCTGTGAAGCCTGCTTCAGGAATCAAACAGGAATGGACTTTGTGCATTGGCTGCAGCTATAGTCAGCACAGAATTTTTACGCAGAAAGAAAGTTGGCAGTACAGCTGCAGAGAGTATAATATTTGTTTATCTTCTCCAATGGGCTGTGAGCTTCTAAGGGAAAAGACTTCCTGGTTCCCTATCATTCCTGGCGCAAAGTCTGTACTTTTGGCAAATATTTGAGAAGGGCTGAAAAAAAAGAGAAAGAAATTGAATCATCTCCATCTTCTTAGCTATACCTAAGGACGTGAAGAGAGGCACAATCAGAATGTTCCCCTACAAACCCAATTGATATAAATCTTTTGTATGCATTAAATGGCCAGTGGTTAAGACTTTGAATCCACTTATCCCAGCTCCAGCACTAATCCTCCAAGCAGCAAATACATAGGCCCAGAAGTTCACACCTCTCACACAGAATAGCAACTAATAAACACTGAACTTTAAATCACTGACCTTAAATCACTTTAAATCACTGACCTTAGAGATTTAAAATGAGCCATTAAGTCATTCACACAGTTCCTTAATTTCTGCTAGGGCAAAATCCTTCTATTTGCTCTAATTAGAAAATCAACATTTTCCTAATTAAACAACCTTCCACTTGGAAAAAGGTTTCCTTGCCTTCAGGTTTCCCCCCACAAACTCTAAAGTAATTAAAAATAAATGAATACTAACAATTGTTCTTCCTAAGAGTTTTGGCCATTATTCCATCAGGTAATTTTTATTGATTTATTTTTTGAAAATACACATTTTCTTCAATTTTGGATTAAACATGTGACCTTGTTGACATTTCAGGGACAATATCAAGTGTTTCCTTCGGGGAGGTTTCTCAGAATCTCTGTGGGCTGCAGCAGCATCCTGAGTAGACAGTCATCACGGCTTTCCTCTTGACCTTGCCGTTTATTTCTTTAGTCTGTCCTACACTGTGAATACTGAGAAAGAGAAGAGTTCTTTTTCATTCTGAAGGACATAAATGTGGCTTAAGACTGAACATTCGATTAAGGTCTGAAAACGGAAAGGAAAAGCATGCAGCAATATCCTCAATGTAACTACTGATGTGTCCCTGCCACTTAAAAGGTGTGATAAAATAACTGCCAATTTTCCTGCTGGGGGAGACCAACTATCATAGCAGGGGTGGTGGTTTCCCTCCAAGACCACACTGAAGGTCTCGTTATTTTTTCCCCTTTTTCTTTCTTTCTCATTTCCTCTTATGCAAATTATTTTTTCCAGGCAAAATAGAATAATGTTTCGAATTTAGTTCAGTAACATCCTCTGAGTGTTACTTTGTGCAAAAGAACCAGCTGCATGTGATAGAAGCCCTGGTTTCTCTAGAGTTCTTGGGACAGTCAATGTGTTTCCCTGGGTCTTGGTCCCAGGTTGCTGAAGCCTGAGGGCCGTGTGGGTCTGACCAGTTAGCATACCCCTTTCTGGAAGCCTTCTTACATTCACTCCAACTTTCATCAAATGACAACCCCCACCCTAGCTTATTTGCATTTTTTTTCTTTTCTCTCCCCAAATTATTACACAACCAATGTCAGCACAACCAATGTCAGGTAGTCTCCTGTCAGCGAATTCCCAAATTAGTATTTCCAAAATCCACTTTTAAATTTTATTCCTTTAACCTTTCTCTGACTCAACATTAATCTCTTCCTCTCAGACACTGCCCTCGCCCCGCCCCCCCCTCCCCCGCGCTAATTGGTTCTTTCTGAGGTTGCAGAAAAATGTAAAGACCTAAATGGGGGACATTTTTATACACAGCTCCTAAATCATGGACTAGAAACTGAGAATCATTTCATGCCATAAGTTATTATAGGCTTCTCCAGAACGGGGTGGATGCAAACTTGTGCCCTAATTGTTCTTATTAGGTATGTGCTCCCTGGACTTCCGGGTGGGGGAGGGGGGGATTTACTGAGGTCCCAGGTTAATGGTTTAGGCATTGAGATGAGAAAATCCTGAAGGAGCTCAAGAAGCCCCACGTTGCCACCAGAGAGGTGGGGGGGAGAGATGCAGGAGGAGGTGTCGGTGGGAGGAAGCACAGAGGTGGCAGTGTTAGGTCCTCTCCCACATATGTGTTTAGCGCGCCATCTAGTGACTGGAACTCACAAAAGGGAAGAAAGCCCAAGGTCCCAGGAAGACAGATGCAGCTCAGGGTTGGGGTGGCTTCCCCTCTGGAGGAACTCCAGATGGCTAAAAGGGCTGTATTTCAGCTTTATAAGTGCACGGATGATGAATGTTGTGTACATCTTTGGGAGGTTGGTGTTAGCCATGAGATATTCAAGAAAATGGGTAAAAAACTTTATGGACCTGTTGGGGGAAAAAAGTACATCTACACAATTATTTCAGAAAGTAGGACTTTAAAACTGTAAGTACTATGATTGAGTAAATACATGAGGCTCTTCTGTGAACATGGGAAACACAAAAAGGAATTGAAGGAAGAGAAAAAAAAAAGAGAGGCATAGGTAGGAAATGAATTGGGCTTTGTAGACAGTTCTAAACCTGGGTTCAGATTTAAGAGCTATCACTTACCATTTGTGTTACAACTGGGAAGTTATTTAAACTCACTAAGTCTCAGTTTGTTCGTTTATAAAATGGGTATCATCCTACCTATCTCCTAGGAATGCTGTGGTGTTGAATAAAATAAAATATGAAAGTGCCAAGCCCAGAGCATCATGTAAAAATGCTCAATAAATAGTAGTTGTTATTAGCAGGGAAAAGAGAAAAGGAAAAGACAGAAGGGAGAAGGCCCAGTAAGGGATAGTGAGGAACACATTCGGAAATGATAAGAAAGGAAATAACATCTAGGACCATCCAACTAAGTGCAAAGCATTTGATCAACAGGTGAATCTCATGGAAAGCTGAAATTCTCTCTGCCTCTACTGGACAGGACTCTGCCTGAACCCACCTTTGTTACCGTGCTCACAAGCGTCTGGGAGGGCATAACAGGAGGGCCTTCCTGCTTGGTACCCCTTGGAGGTCAAGCTATCCAGTGAGAGAACCCATTAGTGTGGCCTGGCTTGCAAGGAGGCTTCTGAGAACCCTGGCTTTCCACTATCAGTGGTACTTTATACCGACTTGGAGAGTCAGTGCACACTTAAAGAGGCTGAAGGAGATATACATATAACCTGAGGCATCTTCCCTCCCCACTAAAAGCTAAATTCTCATGGCAGACCCAGGAGGTGGAAGCCCAAAGCTGCTTCATTCTCTCCTTTGGAACCTGATATGGCTATCTCTAAGGATTGCATAAAGCCCTTCAGACACCTAAAGCCTCTGGAGAACAAAATAATTGCACTACATACGCATGCGCGCACACACACACACACACACACACATGCACTCTCTTGGACTCATGCCCTCCAAGGAAGCACTTAGTCTACCATCTGTAGCCAGGGCACTGAAGCTGGAGATCATAATGCCTGTTCCCTAATGTAATGGCCAACTTCAGTCTCAGAGTAACAGCAGCCATTGCCTGCATTTCTAACCTTTACCAGCTTTCTTCCATGCCAAGGAGAAACTAGGACCAGGAACCCAGTAATATGATCTCCAATTAGCATAAAATAAAAACAACCTAGTCATGTTTTCCATGGGCTTTTCCAACCTCAAACTAAAAGCACGAAGCAAGGAGAAAGAGATAAAAATATATTCATGGAAATACACACACACACACACACACACACACACACACACACACACACATATATACTGACTATATATGCACAGCCAAGCCCCCTGACCCAAGTGAGTATCTGTAAGAAAACCAAACAGCCAGATGCAGAAATCTGAGAAATTTCCCCTCCCAAATTACAGTGTGAGAACAGACAGGAAAGGAAAGTCCCCTGATTATTTGGTATGGAAGGGGTTAAGTCCTCAGTCACCCTGTTCTAACGTGATTTATGATGATGGGTAGAGTTTCAAAACTTTCCCCCACCCTAAAGAACAGTCCTCTCCCTCCTCACCGAGTTCACTCTCAATGTGCTGAAATGGGAAGGAGGCGGTGTTTTGCTGATCTGTTAAATTCTTAGTGAAGTTTCCTTGATTTCCAGTGGCTGCTGTTGTTTGAGTTTGGTTTGGAGCAAAACTGAGGTAGTCCTGACATTTCTGGGACTGAGTCCAGGCAAGAGGAAGAAGAAAGAGAAGGAGAAGGAAAAAGGAAGAAAAAAGGTGGGGAGAAATAAAGGAGGAGAGGAGCATAGGAAAAGAAAAAAAGACTTTTTTCAACATCACATTCCTGTGTTTTCCCTCAGCCTGGAAAACATATTAATCCCAGTGCTTTTACGCCCGGAAACAAAGGGACTAAGCCAGACTGTGGGGGAAAGAGTGATAAGAAGGATCCTGGAACTCTGCAGAAGGAGAGAGAGAGATTCAGAAATCGCTAGGACTCCACTTTAAGGGACGCCCTGTGTCGGCACAAGCGACTGGCACACACAGACGCAGAAGACCAAGGAGAAACTGCAAGGCAAATGGAGATACAAAGACTTAAAAGGACAGCTCCTTTCACCTCATCCTCCTTGTCCAGAAGGTAAAAAGACTCAGCCCAAAGCAGAGGCATCAGCCTAGTGCTCATTCAGGACAGGCTTCGGATCCGTGGTGCTACTGGAAAGCTGGGACGGCAGCACACCCCTTTGTACTGCTCACCCTCAGAAAGGAGACAGAGGGTTGGGAGGAAAAGTGTTTCATCTAGGAAACTGTCCTGGGGACCAAATTTCCAGATTTCTTTTGAAACCCTCTACATTCCATCTCTATGAGCCACAATGTAAGTGTGTAATCCTTTCTTTCTGTCTCTGGTGTGTTTGTTTGCTTCTTTGTTGCTTATTTGAAGAAATGAATTGAGAATGTTGTCATAATTAATATGTTCAGTTCACATTTTCTCTGGAGCATCCAGAGAGTTGAAATAGTGCAAGCAGCCGACCAGGAACTGAGTTGGATTTCCTGCTTAATGTAACTGTCCCGGTTAAGCACTGACAAATTACAGGGGATTAAAAGCAACGAGATCTCACCATATTTTCCATTCCCTGACCTCTCTCCGCACAACAGCGACTCGGGCCACATCCAGGGTAGTAACAGTAGCTGCAAGACCCACAACCACCACCACCTTTCCAACCACCCAGAGGCCCTGGACCCCCCGAGAGCACCCCTCCTCATCCACCCACAGGCCCCCTGCAATAGCTGAGGTGACCACTGCCAGGGGACCCTCAGTCTCAGAGAGTCTCTACCCTCCACCCAGGAAGGAGCAGCAGAGGGAGAGGCCACATGCCACTAGGAGGCCCAGCAAGGCCACCAGCTTTGAGAGCTTCACGGCTGCCCCTCCCACCACCATCTCAGAGCCCAGCACAAAGGCTGCTGGCCCAGGCCGCTTCCGGGACAACCGCACGGACAGGCGGGAACATGGCCACCGGGACCCAAATGTGGTGCCAGGTCCTCACAAGCCTGCAAAGGGGAAACCTCCCAAAAAGAAGGCCCAGGACAAAATTCTCAGCAATGAGTACGAGGATAAGCATGACCTCAGCCAGCCTACTGCCTCTCGGCTGGAGGAGGAGATGCAGGTGGGGCATATTCCCCCCCAAAAAGCAAAGGAGACGAAAAAGCATGAAAAGCTTGAGAAACCTGAGAAGGAGAAGAAAAAAAAGGTGAAGAATGAAAAACCAGACAAGTTACTTAAGAGTGAAAAGCAAATGAAGAAGGCTGAGAAAAAGAGCAAGCAGGAGAAGGAGAAGAACAAAAAGAAAAAAGCAGGTAAAACAGAGCAGGATGGCTATCAGAAACCCACCACAAAACATTTCATTCAGAGTCCCAAGAAGTCAGTCGCTGACCTGCTGGGGTCCTTTGAAGGCAAACGAAGGCTCCTTGTAAGTAATCATCTCCTTGCCATTGTTCTGTGGGCTGATGCAGGGCATGTTGATGTTTGTCTTGTTATTTTTGTAAAATCACATTGCCAAAGACTAGCCTTGACTAAACCTGTACTGTGTCAAGAAGATCAGGAAGTTTGGCAAGAAAGGGCAGCCAGGCCATTAGCTCCTCCAAGTTAGAGGCTCTATGAACCTCTGTCCACACAACTCACAGCCCTAAGGTAGAATCCATGGCTGGGGGACCTTAGACATGAGCCCAGAGAAGCACCTGCCATCAATTTCTTCTGAAACTGTCAGAACCCCTCCCCCATCCTTTCTGCTCCTTTCCAGGGACTGTTTCTGAAGACAGCTCCCTTCTTACCAAGTTCAAAGGATAAAAGAAGATTGAAGGAGTTCCATAAATGAAATGCATTGGCTCCAGTTACAACTTAGGAAAAGGGTTTCTCTGTGTGAACTTAGGAACTAGAAGCAAATGTATGGGGAAAATGGCAGAGTTCCCCTTCTCTCCCTAATTAGGTCTATATCAATATTGGAAGCCTCAAAAGGGAAAGTAAGGCAGACTGAGTGGGAGGTGGGTATGATTGGGGGTAGGGAAGGGACCTTGTTGCTGTTATCTTTGCTTATACTTTCAAAACCAGTTGGCAGAAATCTCCCCTTAAAGGCTGCCTCCTCCCATCACTGTCCAACTACCAGTAAGAGCCAAAGGGATGGAGTGTGGGGAACTGCGTTAATTGCTCCAATTTCCAATACCTTAAAGATATATCTGAATTTGGAGTCCATACGTCAGTCTCTCCTGGGGCTCTGTAACATGAGTGTGTGTGTGTGCTTTTGCCCAAGTGTGTGAAAAAGGAGACAAGCCTTAAAGTGATTATATAAACTTAAGTTATCAGATGATAGGCTATCTGTTAGAGTAGGTTAATAACTGCTTGGATATTCCCGGAGTATATAAACTTAAATGGGAATATTCCAGTTAGAACCAGAAGAATCACTGGTTTCAGAGTGGAAGTCTACCTGGTACTTGAATGTTTGCTGGTACTTGAATGTTTGTTAGGGGACCCGTGGGGGCAAACTGCTTTCTTTTTGGGGCATGGGAAAGCATTCATTGTGTGCTCCATTGCTCTCCTCCTGAGTACCTGGGACTTTATCCAGCTCACTAAAGCACATCACCCAACTCTGTCCATTTAGCCGACAGGGTAAGCAAATAACTAGGGAAAAAATAATCATGGGTAAAATGTGAGGATTGTAGTTGTGCACCCGTCTGGCAAATACTTCCATTGCCCCTAGTTAGTGAGTCAAAAGAAAGAGGTTTTCATACTGTATCCCTGATATTAGTCATAGTTTTTATTTCTCCCTCCTTTTCTTCACTCCTTTAGTCAGGGATGTGAAAGCCCAGCTGGGTCTTTTCTGCTTTTAACAGTATCCCTCATAAATTTCTAGCAAATGAAAGGCAAACGACAGCTTTTGCTGATGTCATGTGAGGCAAAACAGAAACCAGCTGGAATTGCTCCTGGTGGGGTTGGCTCTTTGGGGCTAGCAAGGGAACCCGGTTTGTTATTAGAAAGAAAATACCAACAGGAGGCATTTCAGTCTTTTGCACCTACACATGCCCAGCTGATGATCACATCAGAAACATGTTTTCTGAAGAGCTAATAGTGTCTAAAATAAGAATGGATTAGAAAAGACCAGATGAAATAAACGTGATACAAAAGCAAAAGATGGAGAGATAAGAATGTTTCACCAGATTCGGAGGAGACCAGTGTTTCTGGATGATAGACTCTGCTGGTGTCATTTATTCCTTTTCCACTCATTTTTTCAATCAAACTCAGCTGATGTTATTCAAGAAGCTCAGTAATTCAATTAATATTCACTAAGGGTAGCACTCTCAAGCTGTTCTAGTATGGCTGAGAACATTTATCTCCAACTGGTCTCAATTCAACCCAGTGTGCTCGAACTGAAAGCAGGTTTGCATTCCAAGAAATTGTACAGCTTTTCAGCTCATCTTTCCAGTTTTTTAGTAACCTGGTGCCTAACCACAATTTATCGTAAACCCCTAGTGCTCTGCATTTATTTATATCATTCTTTAGATGTGAAAATTTCACATAACTGCTACTTAACCAATTAGAGAGACTCTGGCAGCAACAGTTTAGGTGGTGGTTGGGTGAATGGCATCCTAGAGGCCTTCAAAGGAGCTGCAAGTGGAGCTAGATATCCTGTTCTTAGGCCAGAGTTTAGTCCTTCAAACCTCCTGACTCTCAGCCTGTCAACAGAGAAGGGCACATTCTGCAAGGTGCTTTGCTGAGACTGAGAGGTTTAATTCTCACAACGATCCCAGGAGGAATTTATTAACCCCATTTTTCAAATGAGAAAATAGAAGCTTAGAGAAGTTGAGAAGTTACCCAAGGTGTATAGCTAATATGCAGCCAAAGTAGAATTAGAACCCAGATCTGTTTGTTTTTAAAGCTTAAGTTTGAGCCACTCCTCCATTCTGTCTTCCTGTGACCTATGCCATAGAGTGAAAGGGAAACAGGAATTATTCTGTTAGCTAATAAATGTAAACATCTTAAAATTTATTTTCAACCTTGAGTTATCCATAAATGGTAAAGTATAGTAATTTCAACATTTTGTGCTTAGCACAAATGTGGAATTTCTGCCTCTAACTGCCCAGCTAGTTCTCTGCACCTCAATTCTCTGGCTTTCCAGGCAGTCAGTCAAGAATAATAGATTGAATCCCAGTTAATCTAATCCTTTAGACTGCTTTTGTCAGTTTAGGGTTGGCTATAGTGAGATTATAGGTAAGCTGTTTATCACTAAAACATTGGACTATGTGGAGTTTAGCTGACGAGTCATCATTTATTGCTCTGAGATCTACCTACTCGTCAGTTTACAAGGTGCCTCAGAGTGCCGAATTGCATAAATTCAAGTGCAAGTTTAAGCATTCTTTAGCAACTGAATCTTCTGTAATTCAAGTGGATTAGTATTTTCAACCTTACTTCAGAAATCTGGATATAGGGACAACAGTCTACTCATATGGTTTAATTTTTTTAAGAGATTTAAAAGTTCTGCTTTACTAAGGCACGCTACCAGCTTCAAAGCTATTTTTCAGAATCCTGTAAGAATGTAGTGTTTGGAGTCTAACACAGTATTTAGAATAATCTGCAACTTAAAATATCTTTCTCCTAGCATCTTCCTGTTCCTATTTATTCCATGACTTATGCAAACAGGCTTCATTATCCTCTGAGGATCACTGAGCCAGCATACTAGTTGGAACAGAAACATGAAAAAGAACCACAACACAATTTTAAATTCATGACGCGTGTCCTGATTTATCACCACCAAACTGGAAAGAGGCCAAGTGACAGACAATGTTTACAAGGAGTTCTAGGATGCTCTTTTCAGGAAGAGGGAACTGAAAATGGTTTTCATTTTAAACACTGTCTGACATATTGCCAAACTAAAAAGTGAATGTGATAGAGATGTCAATACATAGGGAAGAGTCCCTGAAATGTGTTCTGATGATCAGCCTACTCTATTTTCCTTGATGCAAACTCGAGGACCAGATTAAATGTGAGAGTGTCTTTACCAACTGGTTTGTGGGCTGCCTGTAGATATTCATAACCAGGGGACTCCTTTGTTAGAGTCACTCCCTTCTTCTCTCGTGGGGGTGATCTATGTAAACTGAGGAATGTGAACCAACATTTGTGCTTCTGCCATCTGCAGGACAGTAATAGGTTCTGGGGCTTCAATGCCTTGAGAAATTTATACTCTGGTTGGGGAGATGTGAGGTCAACACAAAAGATGATAATAAATGAAGGAAATACATAAATTCTAAATAAGCACTGCAAACACAAGGGTAGTAATTAAAAGGATGAAATGATTATTGTGGGCTAGAAAATATTTTAAGAGAGATGCTGCATTTGAAGAAAGACTCAGATTCATATAAGGCAGTGGTGGGGCAGGACATAAGAGACAGGAGGGGTGACATGGCAAAGGCAGAGGAAGGAATGTGGGTGAACTATTCAGAGCCAACATATATGTTGTGCCCAGGGGCATGCAGCCTATACAGGTAAATTTTTTTTCCACTTAACTGTCACAGCTTTATGAGGTTGGCAGGGAAGTTTTTCCATTATAAAGATGGCAAAGCTGAGTTCATAAGAGTAAGTGGCTTTGTTAAGGATATAAGCTAGCCAGAGGTTGAACTAGCTCTCTAGCTTTGACTGCAGTCACCCATTCTCTAAGCCACTGTGTCCAAGATTCCTTTCATTTCATAATTCAGACTGGTCTCGCTATGGGGGGTGAAGAGCTCACAAAAGGGAGGAATGGGAGGACTGTCAGCAAGCCAGGAAATGAGTCATGAAAAATGAATGTCACCTCCCTCGTGGGTTAAGGCATTCTTGGGCAAAAGCGCTGAGGTGAAAATAAACATCAGAGGTTTTTATTTATTTAAGTCAGATTTCCACTGGTATCCAGTCATGAAAAATGAATGTCACCTCCCTCGTGGGTTAAGGCATTCTTGGGCAAAAGCTCTGAGGTGAAAATAAACATCAGAGGTTTTTATTTATTTAAGTCAGATTTCCACTGGTATCCACAGCCTAATGCTACTGCATGCAGAGCTATATGGGAGAAGCTACCACACAGGGAAGGATGAGATTCTGTATGATGATACATTGTTTGAAATTCTTTATTATACCCAAAGAGGAGGAGAAAACTAGAGGAGGGGGCTCTGAGGATGTTAAAATCCTGCCATACCATAGTCTGTCCAGGGATTGTAAGTATTCATGCCAAGGTATGAGACAAGTGTCACAGAGTTTATGTATGGAATTGAAGTTTCAGTGTCAGGTAGTCATCAGTCACCTAGCATCTGGGCAGCTGTGCCTAGAAACATCTCTAAATATATTCTAAATATGGGCTTATCCTTAATTTAGAGTAGGATCTAGAATCATTAACAGTGAATCTCTTTCCCTTACTTTTGTTTTTATACTTTTGTGTTCTCACCTAAACATTCACTTTATTTATTTCAAAATAGCGTGTTTTTGAACAAAGAATAGCCAGAAAGAAAAACCTAAAAATACCAAGTTAAAATAGAACTTCAGGATTTGGGCTACCATTAAAACCTGAAGAAATATTTTCAAATTCCAAATAGCTAATTAAAAACAAACAAACCAAATATACCATAAACATATCTTTTTATAGCCACCTTAAATCTTTTCTTAAGGCTAAGTATGAATCAATGAATATATTTGGAGGAATTTTATTATATTTCCCCTTGGAAAATTACACTTCTAAAACAAACATTTCCTACCCACCATGTCCATCTAAATATGCATATAAACACAAGATCATAAATAAACTAGATAATGTCTATTTCAAATAAATAACAATCTCAAAAAGGAACAAAAACCAATAAACTTCATTCTAGAAAACTTTTGTTAATATTCCAAGGAAAGGCTAGTGAACATATTTTAATGCCCATGAGGGTTAGTATTTTGTCATGTATAGAGAATTCTTAGGGGCCAGGTGAAAAATACCAGGTCTGAATTGGAGAAAAGTCTAAAACTGAAAGTTTAAAAACCATCCTGTTTGAGGACTGCAATATCGAAAGATATCCACCATGAGCTCTGTGCTGGCCCAATGTGACAATGAATATTTTCTATGTGACAAAACACAGGCCAAAAGGCCATCATAAAAATTTTCTGCAAGATCGCCTAATAAAAATACTAAGCCATAGAATGTTCCATAGTGCCAAGGCCTGGCTGTGAAATTCTCTCAACCCTGTGGAATGTGAAATAATAGTAGTAACTACTAAATTAGCCAATGTCTGATCGGACAATTACAATAATGAAGATCAAAATGAGAAAAGGGAGATAATATTTATTGAACAATTTTTGCATGCCAAGAATTCATGTAATGCTCACAACAGCCTTGCAAAATAAGTATTCCTGTGTGGAGTTCACAAATGAGAAAACCGAGACACATGGAGACTAGTAATGAAGGTAAATAATGGAAGTGAGTAAAAAGCACTAAGCTGTCTGGAGCCAATTAAAACAAAAAGGCCTTCCCAAAAGGCCTTTTTTTGGCCCTGATTATGCTAACTGTCCAACAGAATGTTCTGCAGTTTAGAAGTTAGTCACTACCAGACATCTATTCCAGATAATCTGTTTGGGTTTTGCCTCAATGTGAAGCTATCACTACAAATTAACATCTGCTTGTCCTTGACCTCCAGCTGATCACTGCTCCCAAGGCTGAGAACAACATGTATGTGCAACAGCGGGATGAGTATCTGGAAAGTTTCTGCAAGATGGCCACCAGGAAAATCTCCGTCATCACTGTCTTCGGCCCTGTCAACAACAGCACCATGAAAATCGACCACTTCCAGCTAGGTTCTCTTAAACATTTTAATTATATTATTGTTTTTTTCATACTAAGGTGGGACGAACTTTATGGGAAAGGTAGGTGGGGGGTCAAAAGGAAAATTCAGATGCCTGGAAGGATCTTTGGTTCCAAAACAGGCAAGTTTGCCTACCAGTTTACGTAGCCATTCCAGGGTTGTTCTGATTTAAGTTTCAGCACTTTAAAATGAAAAACATGCAAGAACACTATTGTCTGAAAGTCAGTAAGGTGGAGAAAAACGAGAAAGTAATACAGTGTGGGGGAGAATCAGAGAGGTATTCCGACACTTTCCTCTGCATCCCCAGTCTTCTTGCCTGTGAGCAACATTTTCTGATCTTCCTGAAGGCTCTGTGCTGCAGGTGACCTGCCAGACTCTTGGAAGTCCTGGACTCTGGCAAGCCTGAGGAGGGAATTAACCAGAGCTGAGAGAAGCTGTTAAGCTAAATGAAAAGTTACTGAAAATATGGACTGAACTGTGCCCAAGTCCTTTTGGAGAACAGAAGAATTTGGCTGAGTTTAGAGTTTTCACAATTTTTCATATTAATGATGCGTGTGAGATTCATGAGGCGAACAGCTCAGCATTGGGCAGCTGAGATCTAACTCATTGCAGTTCTCATGGGAATGTTGCAAGACTTACTGTCATTAGTCAAACCTCATAGTCAGAAGCCCCAAATGTGACCCACCCAGTTTTTTATAATTATTACATCTCTAGGGCTTTATTTTTTTTAGCAAAATGTTTCTTAATATGCTTTCTCTACAAGTTTTTTTTTATTGCTCTTGTTTTAATTATAATGAAAATCCTTAAGAGTAACCCTTCATATTCCATTATTTGCATATTCTGCATATTTTTCATAAAACATATTTCATCTAAAAACAATTGAATGTAAAATATATTTTCCCCATTAGTTAACATTTAACTTCAATACATATAACACATTATCTCACAGATTTTTCTGGCATATGATCTTGGTATAATTGAACACATAATTATGTCATGATAATGTCAATTTGATTTGAATATGGCTTAGCTTTATAAATCATATTTTTTTATTGTGGTGAGAGCACTTAACATGAGATGTACACTCTTAAATTTTTAAGTGCAAAATATAGTATTATTAATTATAAGCACAATGTTGTACAGCAGATCTCTAGAACTTATTCAGGTGTAAAGTTTCGGTTATACATTCTGTGCTTTCAGTAGCTCACCATACCCTCAAATGGCTACAAAGGAAAAATAAATAGCATTCTTTCATGATCCATTATAAATCATTGTGGATTGGTGATTGGTTGTGGACATTTATCCGGTACTGTGTGTATGTTTGGGGGGAAACAAAAAAAAAAAAAAAAAAAAAATCCTTAACCAAAACAACAAAAACAACAACAGCAATAATCATACAAACAGAAGACACAAAAGTTCTGGAGGTAGACAGACAGATTTAAATTCAGAGTCACAATTTACTTATTGTGTGACATTAGGCAAATTACCCCCTAAGTCTTAGTTTAAAAGTAATCATATCTATTTCATGGGCTATAGTAAAGATTGAATAAGATAATGTATAAAAATGCACAATTATTGTGGTCACTGTCATCACCACCATTTGATCTGGCAGTCATCTGGAGATCAATGGGCTGTCACAGTTGTCATTAGAGCACCAATAATTGCAAAATACTTGTAATTGCTTTCTGCTAATTGCAGAATGTTGAGGTATGAACCCTCACTCACATCTACTCGTCCACGTCAGGCTACATTACTACTCCTGGTGATAAAACTGAAGCTTAAGAGTCTTATAATGCTTCATATTTAGTGGTTAACTGGGATTCAATCATTTGTTTCCTGGATTCTCAAATAATAGCACAAAGCCGGTGAGCTTAATTATATTCCAGATGTCTAGAGAGGAAGTAAGATTCAAAGCAGTACAGACTGGTGCTGGCTGGTGATGAAAACCCTCCTCAACCAGGTGTTCCTGATGTCAAAGTCTTCTACAAAGTATTCTCATTCCTTATTTCAGAGAAGTTTGGAAAAATCATATCTTCTACCTCAACTTCTATAAGGTTGTATTATAAGCATCTGGTGCTGCCTTGGCAAATTTTTAGCATAATCCTGCTGTTTTCTAGACATCTGGATTGAATATGAACTGTAGAGGGGCTGAGATTTTCTTTCCTGCTTCATTGGAAATCAGGTATTGTGATTTGGGTATTTGCCTCACTGAATGGCAGCCTGGACCTGATTGCGGCGGGAGGGGGGCTGTGGAGGGAAGGGAGATACTTTGTGTCTCATTTAATTCTTGGAAGCCCTTTCTGTCCTTGTGTCATGTCCCAGGCTACCCTTATGGGAAAGGCTGTAGAACTTTCAGCCAAGACTGGGAGTCAGCCATGGGAAAATAAGAATTGGCATGAACCACGGTCTTAGTGAACCAAACCCCAGCCTTGACTGATTTTCAGCTGGAAGTCTATCAGATGGCCTTACTTTTCCTTAAAAATAAATCAAGCACTGCCTACTCTTCCAGACTTTTACTGGGTCTTGAAAGCAGAGGCCCACAGCCAGCTACGGTGTGGGCTGTACTCTCCAGCAGTTTCATCTTGCTAAATGAAGTTGGACCATTGATGATGGACCTACAAACACCAAGAAACTTACCTTAAGACTTCAGGCTTTAGTCCAAAGAAAGTTATTTATGCTTGAGCAAATTCCAATGCCCACCTGGTTTTGCCAGCACAGAATATATTACACATGTGGGTTTAAAATGACCTAACACATAAAGGCATTTTTTATTGTTAGTGGTCTTTAAAATGCCAATCTAGGATAGGAATATTGGTGTGTATGTTAAGTGCATGCGTTATAGACAGAGTTTGTCAGAGAAGAAGTTGTTGCCGGCGAAAGGCGCTTTATCACAGAATAAAAAGAGAAGTCGGGGATGGGAAACACAGCAAGCAGGTTTCATTCTTAGCAAAATGTAGAGATGAAAATATTTTGACATGGGTATTTGATCACCAAATTTTAAGGGCAGAACACACAGGACATTTTACAGGACAAAGGAAGTTCTTTGATAGCTTCTTTTGAAGGAAGGCAAGTTTGAGGGTAATTGATAAAATGAGAGGTGGAAAAGTTGATGGAGGTAGAATGTGGCAAGAAGGAGAGAGAAAGTGTTGTTTCCTTACTTACATATGAGTAAGAAATTCATAGGTGATTTTTTTAAATAGCTTTTGTAAATGAGAATGATAGAATACATATCAGCATAAAATATTCTTTCTGTCTTTCATCCTGTTGAAGAGAATTGTTCTCTATGGCAAAGCCTCAAAATCATCAGGATTCGTAACAATCCAAAAATGTTTCTTTCCTTCAGGGGCAGTCCTAAAAAATTGACCCTTTGTTCCCCAACTTCTCCTTCCATCAGTGGTGAGAGTGCCTGGGAACTGCTTTCTCTAGACGCTGCCACCCTGAGCTGGGAGGAGAGGCCGGGTGGGTGCTCAGATTCCCATACACTGGCCAGTGTCCCCCTCGGTTTACTCAGTCCTCTATTATCAATCATTCTGTGCCATAGAGCCTAGAGAGCCTGTCTCCTGACTTGTTCAGTCATTCTATTCCTCTGCCATTTGCTGCCTCCAATATAAAGTGTATCAGTGTCAAGATCAAACCCTGTCAATCAAGGGTGAAAAGTGCCTGATAGGTCAAGTGTGCAAAACAGGTGTTTAAAGAATGTGGTGGAGGGATAAGCTCTTCCAGTTGCAGTCATCAGAGAAGGTATTGTAAATATCAGAGAAGTCTGAAAAGTGGGTTGATTTAATGTGGGGCCTTGAAAAATGAGAAGCTGTTTTTCACAGGTGATGACTCTATCAAAGTTTTTTGTTTTTATTTAACTTTTTAAAGAAATGATTCATTTTCTGGATTCCAAAGTCAAAGCTATATAAAAAGGTATGCACAGACAGGTCTTGTACCCACTCTTGACCCCTTTACCCTGCTGCTCTCTGCCCCCTATACATCATCATTTTTACAATTCCTTGTTTTTTCATGTAGTGCTTCTTTATGCAAATACAAGTAAATGTAAATATCTGTATTCCCTTTCTTTTTATACAAAATATAATATAGTATATATACTGTTCCACATCTTGCTTTTTTGGCTTAAATATATTTCCTGGCGATCAGTCTTTATGAATATGTAGAGATCTTCCCCATTCTTTTTGAACTATTGTGAGATTCTACCGTAGTTTATTTAATCAGTTTGTTGATGGACACTTGGATTGTTTTCAGTATTTTCTTATTATATATGTTTCACACATACATAGTGATATATGTACAAGATTATTAATTGTGAAATTGTGGGTGTATTTTTACAATAGATTCTAAGAAGTAGGATTGTTGAACCAAACAGAAAATGTGTCTAGTTTTGATAGATAGTGACAGATGTCTCTCCATATAAGTTGTATCGTTTTCCAATTCCACCAGCTATGTTTGAGTGTCTATTTCCTCAAACCTCTCCAATTACACTATATGAACAAACTTTTGGATATTTCTGACCAATGTGATATGTAAAAATTGATATCGATGTAGGGTAGTGTTGGCTTGCATTTCTCTTTTTGTAAGTATAGTTGAACATCTTTTGATGTTTAAGGAGCATTGTATTTCATCTTTTGTGTTCTTTGCCCGCTTTTCTATTGGGTCTTTTTCTAGTCGGTCTTTTTCATTTCAGTGTATAGGCACTGTATATAAACTAGAAGAAAAATTCAGACTCCCAGCTCCTCTTCCCACTCCAAAATAATGACTTTTTAGTTTAGTGATGGGGTCCAGGAATCACGTTTTTAAAATATTGCTTAGGTGATTCTGATTTGCAGCTAGGTTTGATCTACAGCACAAGGTTGGGTGTAGAATAAGAGGGGAAGAGAGGGCTAGAAATGTAGCTTGGCACCTGGTTTTAGAAGATTTCAAATACCAGGGCAAAGAATTCAAACTTTATTTGGTAAACCACATGAAATCACTAAAGATTTCTGAATATGC